GATATTGGAATATATAAAAATTCACATTGGCAAAATTTGTTAGAGATGACAACAAGCCATTCCCATCCATCAACATTCCCGCGAACACTAGCAACTTCTCAATCTTGATTATGTATATCCTAGAATCAGCATGTCGAGTTTCCCAGTTAGGTTATCCTGCCAACATGCCAGGTTACCCTAACAAGTAACAAGTTAACGAATTGATAATTTGATAAATTGATGAGATGCCGAGCACAAGTCCAGGATGAAAGGCAAGAAAACACACCAGGCTAACTAGACCATAGCGCTTCAACTAACTCAATCAGCAAGTTATGCTCGATAATTCTTCTATGGTAATCAAAGCACAAGAATAAAATTTTTTTGAGGCCATTCATCTGCTCGTCAAGAGACTCGTTTGCTTCATAGCCAAAGAGACTAGCTCAATAGAAAAGGACAACTCGCTCTGAAGATGATTTGCCCAATACTAGATCATCTCAAAAGAAAAGTGGAAGACAAAAAAGTGACCCGACAAGCATTATGGCGAATTGTTTTCTGGCACTATTAGAGATAATGTTAATTATAGTGTCAAAGACAAATTAAGATAAGATAAATAAATCAAAGATGCTTTGAAAACTGTGCAATAAGTCATTATTTGGTAATGTTTGAAAAAAAACAGTTATAAATAGAGGGATATCTATGTACAAGAGACTATATTTCTCGCTCTTTCTCCCACAAGGAATAAAAATTTCACTCACATCTGGCTCAGAATTCCCTTTATTCCAATCTTTCCTTGCAGTGTGAATCCACGGATAATTCATAATCCAACATTCTAAAAGATATAGTGAGTATGGAAAACATCACAAGTAAGAGAAATAGTTACACAAGAAAACAAAGCCAAACAACAAATAAAAGAAGTCCTTGGAAATTGGAGTAGGGCCAACCATAACTTTTTTTATCATTAAAATTGTATCATATCATCTATTTATTTTCAAAACTTTGGAACTCGTCCATACGAGATCACCATTAAAATTGAAAACTTTGTAACCATAACCAAAGAATAAGTAATTCATACTTAATTTTCTTGAAAGAAAATTTTCCTTCATTATTTTATAAAAACTATTATTAATACGTCATCAATAAATTTCATCATTTAGCATGAATCTCGAGCCGTGACACTAACTCAAGGCATTTTTATGAAAGAAACGCTCAAACTCAAATTAAAAATCATCCAGAACTCTGTTTTCAACAAACATATAGTCAAATTGACCAGCTTGAGAATACAGAAGCAATGACACCATATTGATCAAATCCGAGTAACATCAAATCTAGATCAATCAATATAATCACTTTTGAAAATTTTGAGTGGTTAATTGGTAAGACAAATTGATTCAAATCTGACAAGTTTAGAGTCAATTTAAGTGTCTCGATAAGATGAATCCAATGACCCCAAAATCACTCAATTCCGACGTCATTAGATCACTAAAATGTCCATAAGGTATTGTCTGATCAGAGGAATCTCTCCAACCCGTCCAATGGGGTCCTAAATTCCTTATTTGTAGGGAACCCCTCCTAGACACTATAAATAGATCATTACCCCTTCATGAATAGGGGAAGGGGAAGGAAGAACTGGACCTCGAGCTACAACTAGAGCGGGAGGAGATGAAATCCAGTGTGGTTCTAGACCGAAGACCCGACTAACACTTCTTGCTCCTATAGCCGTCGACCATTGTCAACCACCGTTTGTCGGTCCCCGTCAACCACTGTCGACTACCCCTTGCTCTTTGGAATGAAGCCCCTTGCGGAGTTATGAAGTAAGTTGTGGAGTAACAAAGCACCTTATGGAGTAATGTATCATCCTGAATGCGGTGCAATAATGCACCCCGAATATAGTGCAATGACGCATCCTCTGTGGCCTACAAACACTATTGCAGGTCCCAACTGCAGTTGTTGTAGCCAACCAATGCTTCTAAAACAACCGCCTATATCGTACATGACCAACTACTACCACGGTTTTCAAATATGAACTCTACGAGAAGATGACATTACAACCACTGTTTACAACATTCATGGTAGACAACTGTCTTCATATCAATCGACTATGGCTTTGGTGACCTATTACGACTATTATTATTAAACTACAATTGTACATCAATATTCTAATTTCATCTTCTCTAACGTAGTAGCGAAGTAGGCCAGTGTACTCAATATTATATAGTGGATTATTTTAAATGCGCTAGACGGTGGTAATTATTCCTCTTTCCAAGGTATTTCACATAAAAATCAAGGTGTTTCCTTCTGGTTACTCTTCTTTTATCTGTGCATGTTGGATTCTCATACTATGTTGACATGATAATTTATTACTATACCACCGCCGACCAGCCAACAAGCATGAATTATATTGGCATACAAACATAAGTCAAATCACTATTACCAAAAAGAATGTTGAAAGGTCCCAAGTAAAAAACCTTGTAGGAAGAGCTCAAGAAGTTCGCAAGAAAAAACTTGCAAGAGAGCCGGAGACCTCGGGAGAATAACAATCATCACATAGCAAAGTTTCCTATTCTATCTCTCTCTTAAAAAATAACTAAGGGAAGAAAATATCTAAAAAATACTTTGAGGGAACTTGTTAGCATCCGACTTTATATCTTTTACAAAAAAATTTAACAATACTTCTATAAAATTTTCTCATGTTGAAGGAGAGTTCTAGAAAACAGTTGTAGAAATAACATCATTGTTGGAGACATTTGGGGAATCACCTAGGTGAGTTGCCTCAAAAAGTGCCCCATTTCATCATATGACAATTCGCCAAAGAACTAGGTTATTATTAATCATAAATTCTCTAAGTTTATCTACAATTTAAAATTATGTTTAAGGACCAATAAAGGAACAACAAAGATCTAACGAGAGGAAATGAAGTTCAAATCAAGCCGGCCCACCTCAAGCAGAACAAGACAATCATAAATATGAAAAAGAGAATCCTTCAAAGCTCCTCTTCTTATCTTTAGCTTATCATATTTAGATTTTTGGTTAACCCGTGTTTATATTTTTGGTTAACTCCGTGTAACTAAATTACATCTCATCTCATTTATAACTCGAGAAACTCACTCCTTATAGTCAAGATTGCTTAGAAAGAAAGGAAAATAGCATAACCTTGAGATCCCACCAGCCTAATAGCCGAACACTATGGACGGTTTTGAAGAAACTCTTTACCAAATATGACTCGACTAAATCAGAGTGAAGATAGTTAACCTGATAATTGAAGATGACAAGATCTCGGCCTGTTAAGTTGAAAAGTTATAGCTACCACTCCCTATAGAAGAGCAACAACACTAGGTGAAAGGATGGTATGAACTTAATGAGATTATCTAGATTTATTTATAATTGAGTTACATAACAAAAAAAGTCAATCTAGACTATAAAGGAGATAAAAGCTCTTATGAAAAAATGAAGTTTATTGACAAAGCTCAAGAAACTAAAGATGCGAGTTTACTATCAAGTCAAATAAACAAAAAACTGAATACAAAATAGATAACAATAAAGTTGTACTGACAAGTTACAAGACTACTCTCTGAAGGTGACCCAAATAGCCCCATCCTATAGGTTTAGCGAAAGTGCCCCTAGAATGACTCCCTTTAGGAGAGCAAAGAGACTACATGCACATGATCAGGTAATACTTAGCAAAATCCATCTCTCATATTTTACTCAAAGGATACTACTTTTTCCAAACAAAGGATACCAACCAACGAACTCATAGTTAAAAAAAATTCTCATAAAACAAGCTCTGTCATGAATTAACTCACCCATGAGATCTCTACAATCCTCGCAACTTTATACAATGAAAATCTTTTTTGACGAAATAGGATATTACTAAAAAGAATGACTCTAATTTCTTTTATGTCGACTGACCACAAAATTATGTCGATTACAAAAATTTCAAACTATTCTTATAGAGATGAGCAAGGGAAGAGTCTCATGATGAGGTGGTGAATGAATTTTTCTCATTCTCTTACCCTTTTGGTGGTTGTCTTCCAAAATACAAGAAAACTATGAAACTAAATGTATATCCTTAAGTTGGCTTGTCGAGTTGCTCTATCAAGTTACTCCGCTAACCTATCCAATTACTCTACCAAGTTGATGAGTTGGCAAGTTATCAAGTTTGAGTTGACAGACTGCTAAGCAGTAACGGTCAAGTTGATGCGTTATCGAACACGAGTCCAAGATGAAAGGGAAAACAACTTACTAGGCCAACTAGATCTTACCAATTTAACTAACTAATCATTGTGTTATGCACAATAATTTGTCTATGATGATCAACACATAAGAGTGAAACTTGGTTGAGATCACTCAACTGTCTGCCAAGGGACTTGATTTGCCTCACAACTAAAAAGACACTCATTGGAGAAGGATGAGTTGCTCTGAGAACAAATTGGCGGATTATGAATCAGCTGAAAAACTGAGTGGGCAGATAAAGTTGTGACCAGACAAGCGATATAGGAAATAGTTAACAAAATATGACATTATCAGGAATAAATATTAACTATAATGTCAAAGCTAGATGAAGACAAACAAGAATAAATCAAAGATCTTTTGGGGTCGATGTGTAATGAGTAGTTAATTTGTAATATATGAAAAGATCCTCTATAAATAGAAGGATATCTACATAAAAGGAACCTTTCTTTCCTAGCTTTCTCCCGCCAAGAATTTTTTTTTTCTCTCATCTGGCTCAGAACCCCATTTGTTTCATTTTTTCCTTATGGTGTGAATCCACAGCCAATTCTGGATCCAACAGCTGCTACAAAATTCTATAGACTAGTCCCATGGTCTTACTGGCAAGTAATATTATATTTTTCCAGAAGGAAAGAGCGCTACAAAACAGCTGAGCAGATTCCAGTAAGTTTTCCAAACATCTAAACAAATCAGATAGTCCATTAAGATATATTTGCATTGCACAAAAGCTTATTATAGTAAACAAATAAAGAAGAAAAGAAAATGAAAAGCTTAAGATCAATACCAAATCTTACCCTTGTCGGAGGTATAACGTTTTCAAAAAGCAATGCATCAGGCTTATCCGCCATCACTGGAGATTTCGTCCAGAGACAGCTCAACCCACATCGACACGAATAGAGATTATCCAAATTATCTGGGATCCAAGTCCACCCTTGTACCAGCACACTAACGTGCGCGGGACTCAACCCCCCGCAATCCACTCTTCCGCCGGAATCCTGCACGGCTGATGGGTTCGGCGCCCATCCCTTGTGATGCTCCATGAACAACGCGCATCCGACCTCCGCGTCCCATCTCGCAAAAGCAGACCTTAAGTCCGAGAATGCCTCTTTAGCCCTCGAATTAAGACGAGAAGACGAAAAAGGTGGAGTGGAGGGGATCGACGATATTGATGATGTGGAGGAGGGGATCTTGGTTGAAAGGGGAGAAGAAAGAGTGGGGAATTCGAGGAACCGGGAGAGGAAGAGCAGGGCGACGGCGAAGGCAATCATAGGTGCGACGAAGCTGATGGGCTTCGATGGAACCATAGAACTGACCGATGAGGGAAATCAGGAGAATTCACATTTTCTAGTGGGATTCTACAGAGGGAGAAGATCGCTATGATTTGAAGAGATGGAACAATCACAGATGTTGTAGGTGGCGGTTAGACCGAAGTATGGGTTGGAGAGGAGGGGGAAAGAAGACGACTTGACCGGGAGAAGCCAAAGACGGCGTTGCGGGCAACGGGTTCAAGCAAGCGCCGACGTATTCAGGAAATTTGACCCTTTCTGGGAGCGGAAATATCTCTCGATCAATTTATTCTTCGAGGCAACCATATGAAGGACAAGTCTCGCACGCAAATAGGAAAAACCTTGCGATATTAGCCCCTATAACTTTCTTAACTTTCTCCTTGACTTATTTTGTAACCTCTTCGTATATGATAACAGAAGCGTGAAATTTATTTTAAGGTATAGATAAGTTATAAAAAATTATAGGGAGGTTATAAGAGGTTATACCGTGGATGTAACCCTCTTGTACCCTCGGTATAACCCCATATCATACGTTGCGTACTTCTATTGCACGCAAATTTTTTCCCGCAAATAGTGGTGTAAAGGATGTTAGCTCTTGTCTCGTTTATATTTCGAGCTCAAAAAGTGTGTTCTTATTCGACTCGTTTGCTTAACGAGCCGAACACAAGCTGTTCACGAACAAAAAATCCTTTTAAAAACCCTAATCATATAGTCATAAAATAATAAAGATTTGAGCAAGATCTAAAAATTATTATTTATATTA